AGATTTTTTTTTCTTGTTATTTCCCATTGGTTCCTTGAACTGTGTATGTTTGTAGCTAAAAATTTACTGTAATTTTGCAGGTTATTGTTTATTTTTTCTAGAGTTTTTTTTTCTATTTTCAATAGATGTCCTTCAGATTCCATGTCAAAAATCCCTATGCATATATTTTCAGTAATTGTTTTCCTTTTTTTTTCTTGACTCTCTCTTCTACCAAATTAGGAAATTAGATTTTATGAATTAAAATAGCTGTTAAAACACTATTATAATGAATGCCTTTACTCTTTTTGAAATACCATCTTCTTTTTTAAGAACAGACACCAAGGGATCACCAGTCTACATGTTCTCATTCACAGTCACAGGTCTCAACTCCATGAGTAGTAGCCTTCAACATGGAATTCTCATAGACTTGTTTTTCCCAATTTCTTAGTTCAGAGATTGATGATTTCCATCTCTTTCTGAAACTTTTATTTGTTAGCAGATTGTGGGAACTAAAACTTGAAGTAACTTTTGACTGTATTAGGAAAGAACTTAGGGAATGGCAGGTTTTTTTTAATTTTTATTTTTCCAGATAAGCTTTAAGAGGTGGATAAAAACTATGAAAATATATGTAAAAACGTTTGTTAGAGTGGAGAATGACATAGTAGAAACTGACACCCAGATTCTTTACCCAATTGCCATGCTGCAAAACAGTGGGGTGCTAATATCACATAAATTACATGTCATCCCTTGAATAGTGAGCACCATTTTACAACTGCATCCTACTTTAATTTTTGCACATTTTCTCCCATTCCTTATCTTGGCTTATGTTTCAGGTGCCTGTGATGTGTTATAATATGACAGTTTTTTCATATTATTACTTGAGGATTGTATAAAATGAGCTGTGTAATTGGGTTTGTGTAGGTTACACTCTAGTGACCATGTTTCTGGATTCATTCATTCAGGTGACACATGTAGGGGGCATCTTCTCATTTTTGGGCCCTGCTCTAGATACCCACAATGTCTCTGCTTTCTGGGACCTTACTGATGGGGTAACATATAGTGTAAGATAAATAAATGAGGTTTCTGGTAACCTTCTATATATAGCCTTGCCTTCCTTTCTGATGCTTGTTGTGATTATTATCATTGGAAAGCATTCCTATGACCCCTTTCTCAAGAGTGGTTTACATTTAAAATGCTACCAGCTATGTGACAGATATCCACTTACATTATAACCTTAAAAGTGTTAGGTTTATCATTTTTATATTCCCAAATTGACAGTGTGAATATTTACTTTATTCACTCCTGTGTCCTCAGGCAATAAGCTAGTACTCAGTAAACATAGGTAGGGTGAACTTGTTGAATTAATGATCGTTTATAGCTGTTTCTTTTGACAGGAGAGTTTATCTTTTTTTCCTCCAATTCTCTTTTAAAATTATTTTTTCTCAAATTGTCTCTTCATCTGCTTTGTCCATTTACTTATTGAAATTTTATTGGGTTTCTTGCTAATGACTTTCTGCTCATTATATTAAAAAAAGTGAATCTTCATATTTTCTACATTTTTTTCTCAACTATTTGTTGCTTTTCATTTTTCAGTTACTTTTTGTTTTGCAGAAATTTTGTTTGTGGAAGTAAACTGTTTTTTAATCAGCTCAAAGCTGATAGAGTTTCTGTATTCTGGAACAAAAATTATTTTGTAAATTATTTATCTTGAAATGATATGGTATTGTGTGTGAGTCAGAATTTTTAAAAGTTTAATAAGGTAATAAAATATGGACACATATTTAAATAGGTGAATTGTTATATAAGTCGTATTGCTAGTTGAAAGGAATTTCTGCAAGTGGAGATGAGGAAGATTTAAGAAAATTGCTGTTGGTTTCCATTTGTTCTATTGTCCTGACAGTCAGTCTCCCATCTTGATATTTTTAATATCATGTTAATATTAATGAATTCATCACAGCCAGATATCTTGCTTGGTGAGTTTGGGTATCCATTTGATGATAATTGTGGCATTGAGGTTTAACTACATCAACTCACTTAATTAAATGTTCTTGAATCAGGGTATAACAAGAGACTCATCGCTCCTCATTCCCCCCAGCATAATGTTCCCTGGTGTTCTGGCATGGGAGTGCAACTCTAACAGAATTTAAATAGACCTCGTAGGGCGATGGGTTGTGTAGCACAGAAAGGAGCAGCAGGATGGAGGTGGTGGCCTCAAATTCTCTGGGTTCTGTATCTGGCCAAACTCTGCATCTGGTGTTTCCCAGGAAATCTGGTGCCAATGTCATACAATGCCACATCTGTTTTCAACAAATGTTTAAGCACTGAGTTCTTAAATTCCTGGCTTGGAAACCTGGCATCCAGTAATTCCAAAAATAGGTTTGAGATTTCAGCAGATTTGGGGTTAACAAACCCTTCCTTATTTTTTTCCATTTAGGAGTCAGACTCGTATTTTGCTCTTTCACTGTGTAGTTTTAAAATGTAGTTTTCACCAGGTTCTGTTGCTGCACATTCATATGAATAACCCATTTCAGTATCTTGGTAAATATTTATCATTAATTTTATCTGAATGTTACATATGGAATCATTGGTATGAATACTTTCTGTAATTATTAAAAAATGGAAATATTTAAATTCTGCTTTTAGAACCCTCAAATGAAAGAATTATGTGGATGTATCAGGCCCTTAATTTATATTGCTTTATTTAATCTTTATAATAATACCATATAAGACAGACCTGCCTATTTTCATGAATAAGGAAACTGAGGTCTACATAAACTAACTAGCCAATGATGAAACAGCCAGTAAGTGGCTCAGCTTCGACTCTCTCCCGGATCTGACCTGCAGTGCCCACATGGTCATTGTACCACCCTTGCGGTGGCCAGATCTGCTAAGCCAAGCATAGGCACTATTATTTTAGTATTAGTGGTTCTTATTTAGTATTAGTATTTAGGATCATTTAGTATTATAGGATTTAGTATTTTGTATATAAATACACACACACACACACACACACACACACAATACACTGTTATTTAGTATTTAGGATTCATGATTTTTGACATCCTACATTCTATCACAGAAAATTAAATTTAAAATATTGCTTACTTCAGAATCTATTTTCAGCTTTTAACTTTCTATAATACTGTAACTCTACCCACTGAATTTTTCTGCTACTGCTTTTTTCAATCCAGTGTATAGCATTTTAAAGGTTGATAGTTTGGCTTGTCCCTGGCTCATGCCTATTTTTCGTAATAAGAATACAGCTCACAATGAGATTATAGTTAATGGGTAATTGATTTTTAATTTAGTTGAACATTTAACATTCACATTGCATTCTATTTTATTTTATTTTTTTTTCCCATTTATTTATTTTATTGTATTTTAGGTTTTGGGGTACATGTGAAGAACATGCAAAATTGTTGCATAGGAACACACCTGGCAGTGTGATTTGCTGCCTTCCTCCCCATCACCTACATCTGGCATCTCTCCCCCTGCTATCCCCCCCAGCTCCCCACCCCCCACCGTCCCTCCCCTATTTCCCCCCAACTGACCCCAGTGTGTAGTGCTCCCCTCCCTTTGTCCATGTGCTCTCATCATTCAACACCCGCCTATGAGTGAGAACATGCGGTGTTTGATCTTCTGCTCCTCTGTCAGTTTGCTGAGAATGATGGTTTCCAGGTTCATCCATGTCCCCACAAAGGACCCAAACTCATCGTTTTTGATGGCTGCATAATATTCCATGGTGTATATGTGCCACATTTTCCCTATCCAGTCTATTGTCGATGGGCATTTGGGTTGGTTCCAGGTCCTTGCTATTGTAAACAGTGCTGCAATGAACATTCGTGTACACGTGTCCTTATAGTAGAACGATTTGTAATCCTTTGGATATATACCCAGTAATGGGATTGCTGGGTCAAATGGAATTTCTATTTCTATGTCCTTGAGGAATCGCCACACTGTCTTCCACAATGGTTGAACTAATTTACACTCCCACCAACAGTGTAAAAGTGTTCCTACTTCTCCACATCCTCTCCAGCATCTGCTGTCTCCAGATTTTTTAATGTTCGCCATTCTTACCGGCGTGAGATGGTATCTCAATGTAGTTTTGATTTGCATTTCTCTTATGACCAGTGATGATGAACATTTTTTCATATGTTTGTTGGCCTCACGTATGTCTTCTTTTGTAAAGTGTCTGTTCATATCCTTTGCCCACTTTTGAATGGGCTTGTTAGTTTTTTTCTTGTAAATCTGCTGTAGTTCTTTGTAAATTTTGGATATCAGCCCTTTGTCAGATGGGTAAACTGCAAAAATTTTTTCCCAATCTGTTGGTTGCCGATTCACTCTAATGATTGTTTCTTTTGCTGTGCAGAAGCTGTGGAGTTTGATTAGGTCCCATTTGTCTATTTTGGCTTTTGTTGTCAATGCTTTTGGTGTTTTGGTCAGAGAATATAACCTGGAGTGATCTGATATCTAGCTTTTATCCAATGCCTCATTATGGAGAATTGTTTGAAGGACCTGCAGTCCAATTATATATTCTAGAGTTTGTTTTTTCTAGAGTTTATTTCTGTATCAAGGTGAGCCATCAAAAAGCTGTTTTAAAAATATCTTATCTTGCTATTCCTACCTTATTTCCTCACTTGTGAAAGAGAACTTGAGTTCCCAATCACATGCATTGGGAGTTTATCCATCAGATATGTGATCTAGCAGGAGCATAGCTATGGATAATTGTGGAATTTAAAACATTAATAACCAAGTATAACTCTGTGCCACTAGGCTGAAACTTAATAAAGTGTGGTAGATTGGAAAAGCTTGATTTTCTTCCTTCGGTAGAGATCATGTTAAGTACTATTTTTCATTAAGTGGGCTTACTATACAAAGTGGAACTATGGCACTCCCTTACAGCACTCAGCATTTCTCTGCATCTTTTCTATCACAGATTCTCAGTTTCTAGCTAGTTTCTCCTAGTAAAGTGAGCTATTAGTTCTTTCTTCTTTTTTTTTTCTTTTCCTTCTTTTTTTCCAGCTCATATTGGTAATGTGCCGATGTTGTGACAAGGTTCAAGGGTGGCACATCTCACACAAGCGTGTGAACACCCAATTATCATGCTTGTGAACTACAAAAGGATCTTCTTTCATTAGGAAAAAAAATTCAATTGATGATTTTTTTTTTTCTAAATGAATCATTTCCTTATTCTAACTAAAAATCTTGTATATTAAAAAAGTAATAGAGGCTTTTCCACAATTTGGCTCTGGAAACTCTGGATACTCTTACAAGTTGGGGGACATTTATTATAAAATTTTTTTCCCACTTATTTATCAGTTGGAACACATAGTACTAAGTGACAAAAACCTGAAGAACAGCTTAACTAGATGGAGATTTGTTTTTAACAGATCCTTTGGTGTAGGCAGGAAGATTTGGTACTACCAGAGAGCAGGGTTTTCCCTATTTTTGTTCTCATTTTGGTATCATTAGAACCTAAGAATTTGTCCTCAGACTTCCCTTTTCTAAGATTGTATAGTTCTAAAATGGCTTCTGTGCTTCCAGCAGCTACTGCCCCAGAAGATGGAAAGGCAAGGGGTGAAAGGCTTTCTTCTTCTAAGGCTTTCCGGCTGCTCCCCCTCCAACCTCTCAGGAGTTGTTTATATTTTATTAATGGAAACTACAACACATGGCCACTTCTAAGTATAGGGGAGAGGAGAATATACTACTTTTACTTTTGGCCTAGATAGCAGGAGAGACAAAGAAGAGGCATATGAATGGCTTCTTTCACAGTCTCCACCAAGTGTCCTTACTGAAAATGGGCCAGTGTTTTGTTTTGCTTTGTTTTTTATATTTTGACCTTTACTATTGCTTCTTTTCTTTAGTCATAATTTAGTAATTCAGAGCACATTTAATCTGAATCTATTCGCATAGGTCATTCATTTTTTGATGTACATATTCTCTTTTGTAAAGTGTAGAGATTATTTGATAAGTCAGATTCTGAAATCCATGTGGGTAGATGATATATTGCAAACCTTAATGCTTTTAGAATGCAGTCTGTTGTAGCCTTTTAAACAATTTTGAATTTTCATGAGACAAGCTGAACATAGTAACTATAGATTTTGAGCAAATGGCATTTTCTATACCAAAGTAGCATTAGAGGAGTTTTTAGGAATCTGATTGAAGGGTGATGAAAGCAATAAAATATTGGAAATGAGGTAAAATTGTATACCTCGTAAAACAATTCTTTTGCTTCAGAGTAGATGAGGAGAAAAATAATGTTACACAGCAGAAATAATCTAAGATGGTAAAATAAGTAAAGAGCAATCAAACAGATTGGGCTCCAGAACATTTCTACCATGTACAACTGGCTGCACTTTCCATGCAACCTTATTTCTTTGTGCCTCAGTTTCCCCATCTTTTTACATGTATAGTAATGATGCCCACCTCCTAGTGTCGTTTGGTTCTTCCACCTAGGAAACTGCTTGACACATAAGTGGTAGTTAATATTTAGCTTTCTTTAATGAATGGATAAAGGTGATGAATGTCGTGCCCACTTTCAAAAGCAAAGCATGTATAGTTTAGTGTCTGTGGCCTTGTCATTGTATCTTTCATGTGGAAGAAACCCATATGCTATCAACAATCTGACTGTCAAGCTTAAGATGGCCCAATGCTGTTATGCATTGACAGTGGCTACCTAAAATAAGACAGATTTTGTAGTAAAATCTGGTAGAATTTATTGGAATTTAGAAAATATCATTATACTTTCAAAATCTTGTTTGTTGTTGTTGTTTCTTTATAGTTTTTTTTTGTGTTTTTCTCCAAACTAGGATTTTAAGAGTGGACTTGGCATTACCGTAATTCCTATGAATGTAGCAAATGTAAAGCAAGTGGACCGATCTGCGAAACAATCTTTTGAAATAATCACTCCCTATAGGAGTTTCAGGTAAGCTATTTTTAAACATTTTGTGTTCATACTACTATAGGAAAGCTTGGGTGATCCACCTTTATGTTGTTGGTGGTGATTTTATCTCTCGTAGGCCACTTAAAATTAATCTTCCTACTTTTCCATATCATCTAATTTATTAGCCACTATGTAAAAACATCTTGTAAAAGTGACCTGAATAATCACAAAACATGCAAAAATATTTATTTCATGAAATTTGAGTAATTTTTTAATACTTATTTTTGTTACTAGGTGTAGCGTATGTTAATTTTTTGAAAACAAATATGATAAATTCCTTCTCAGGAGGAATAAAAGAAAAACATATAATGTTATCTTTAAGTTGTATTGTTATCTTCATTTAGCCTGATCAAATACAATCCCTCATTTAAAATCAATTCCTAATAATATTTGCTTCATATTATTTTCTCCAGGGATTCCAGCTTAAAAATGATACTGAATTTAATGAATCTCATAGCACCTATTGATCAAAATATTTTAGCATTTTTATATATCTTGTATTATGTTATTCTATTAGTTGCATCATTATGACAATGAAACAGATAATTTAAAGTACTTAATGTGGTTTAATAAACTAAAATGACTCCATAGCTTTAGTATACAGAATAGGCATAAGTCAACATCTTTTGAATTCATCTATATTAACTTGTTTGTTATAAATAATCAACGCACCACAGGGTAGTGTAGAAGTCAGAGGCAATTGCCCTAGGCCTTTAAAGGACTGGCAATTAGGAATTTCAAAGTTACTGTCAAGTGTGGATACTCATTTTGCCTCTTAAAATATATCTGTTGGCTCAAATTTTGAGAAAGAAATGATTACATAAAATAACAAGCTTTATTTTTACATTTGCAGATTCTAGCCAAAACTAAAAATGTAGATATTAATATATTGGCTGCGATGAATTTCTAGTAGAACCAGAAACCACTAAGAATGTTATCAATATTAGAGTGATGGAATCCCAAAGAGCTTCAAAAAGTATAATTCATGTAGGCCATTTATTTTTATAGATTATTTACAATATGTTAGCTGTGATTTTCATTATATTTCAAAGCATTTTCTTCTTTACAACAGAAAATTTTAATATGAATCACTTTTCTGGGTCATTCACCAAGTATGTAGCACTGTAGCACGTTCCTTGGCACATTGTAGGGACTCAGTAAATATTTCTTGAAGGAATGAGCTGCTGTTTAATGTTTTTATTCATTCACTCGAGCACCCAGTAAACATTAAGATTCAGAATAAATCAGAACATGGCTAAAAATGTGTTAGAAAACTGTTAAGAATAGTAACCACTTAAAACTTTTTTTGATTTCCCAGTTACTTAGAACCATCTGGACATTCTTCTAATTAAAAAAAAAAAGAATCTATTCTTAAATCTGAAAAAAAAAGTCACAATTTCTGGTGGGTATTTTTGATAATGTGGCTTCAGACTATCATGGCATATTTGCTTGGCAAAATATTCCAGTAGCCCTGAAACTGTGCCAGTAATCTCTTATTGATGATTATATAACCATTGCTTGGAGAAACATGGCCTCTTGTTTAGGCTTGTGACCTAACAAGGCAAATTTTATGTTTTCCATAGAAAAGGTATGTGTTAATTTTGGTTCAGGATACATAAACAAAGATATAAACAATGTGGAAAATTAAAAGGAAAAAATATGATTTGTTAAGTTAAATGATTTTTAACAGAAAAGACAACCGAGAACTGCCTAGCAGGCATATTTTTCAGCTGTTTGATTTGTGAGTGAAATGAATATGCAAACTGAACATACTGCTTAATTGGCCTTTACAAGGGAGATCGATAACACAGGAACGTTCATTGTTTCAGCTTTACAGCTGAGACTGAAAAAGAGAAACAAGACTGGATTGAAGCTGTGCAGCAATCAATAGCAGAAACTCTCTCTGATTATGAAGTAGCTGAGAAGATTTGGTTCAATGAATCCAACAGGAGCTGTGCGGATTGTAAGGCCCCAGATCCTGACTGGGCATCCATCAATCTCTGTGTTGTCATCTGTAAGAAGTGTGCAGGTAATTAGTAATAAATTATGCTTATCACTGCTTTGTGGCAGATTGGCACTGAATGCTTTTCATTGTTGTATATTATATATCTCAGTTAATGGTTGTGAAAAGTAAAACCAGAGAAAGCTTACTACATTTAAATCAAATTGAGAAATGTCTTATGAGCCTAAACTTCTCTTGTGTATGACTCAGACATAAAAATTGATTTTTAAGCATGTAATCATATGTTGTGCCTAGTGGTCCATGTATATATTTTTAAAAGGCAATGTTGAAATTTCTAGATTTTAGGTGAGTATGATTTTGCATGCATCCAGAACAAGCTTTCATCTTTAACTTGAAGATTTGTCCACCTTTCCCCAGTCATTTTTTGTAAGACATATGTTTCATCCCAATGTTGTTTTGAGCACTAACCTTCATATAGCAGATCTGGCATCGCTTATAATAAGAATTTTATATAGAAGCATTTCACAAGAGTGTTGATACTTATGAAAATACATTGGTATTATGACTGGGTTTTTTCTTGTGACCTCACACCTAACTACCTGACATCGTATTTGAGAGCCGAGAGAGTTTACCAAGTGAGTGGAAGGAAGTGGACACCAGCTTAGGTGTGTATTTATGGAAGTTTTGGAGAAAATTAACCACAGCCTAAACCTCAGTTCTCCCGGACTACCTCTCTCCCACCACCTTCTTCCCCACTGCGCGTGCACACACGCGCACACACACACACACACGCACACACACACACACACACACACTCTCTCTCTCACACACACACACAGACAATTCAACTCAAATACTACTCGAATACTAGCTACTGTGCTGGTCTAGGGAGTTAAAAAGAGGTACAAAACATGACATTTCCTCCACAATAATGAGACAATGCAAGACTGGAGTTGAATACAGGCTTCAATGAGAACGCTGGAGAGAAGCATCAGACTCAGCTAGAGCACAGACAGTGAATAGTGCAGCCACAGGAGTTGCTTCAATTCCTGCATGTTTTCCTAGAGCTCTCTGCTACTGCATTTCTCAGCAAACCAAGATAGATTTTCTCACCAGCTAATTAATAATATCAATCACAACAAAAAACGCCAATGAATCACCTTCTACTTTGTATTTTATCCCATCATTTTCTTTTCTCCAGTTTCCCTGGAAGAGATGG